TCCTACTGCTGAGCTAGTGCTTGAAGGTACATATTATGATACCTAGATATAAATTAGTGTTCATTGAAGAGTCTGTCATGTCATATGTGAAACTATGACTGATTTTCTCCATGTGGACTCCACTTTCCCATGTATACTTTTCCCTTGAATATTCATGATTTATACACCTTCTAGGAGGCAGGCATTGCAATGACTCTGTGACTTACTTGATTATATGATTAACAGCTTAATCTCTCTAACCTTTTTTTTTTTTTTAATTCCTCTTGGAGAAGAGTTGATTTTCTGCTAGATTAGCAAATTGAATCAGCTTGCTCAGCTGTTTGAAATTGTTTGGTTGATTTAAATCATTAATCCACTGCTAAATAAGCTTCTCCCTTCCTAGCCAAGGGGAAAAAAAAAAACACATAGACCTGGGAATTAGTTTAAAGACAGAGATGTTTCTCGTCCTTGTGTTTACTACTGGCTGTTCACAAGTTCTTACTTTTTTTTTTTAGTGTCAGGGTGGTACTAGGTACTAGCATCTTCTGGGGTTTGAGATGAATCTGTTCCTGACAGTTTGCTCTAAAGATGGCTTGTATTAGATGTAGTAAACAATGTGAATTTAATATATGTGGTCAAATGACATTAAAAAACACCAGAATCCACAGGTATTAAGAACTTATATTTCACTGTGAAACATAATATTGAAATTATGAAAAAAGAATCCTAAGTGCAACTATTGGGCAGAGAGAGGTATTTCAAGGTGGCTGACATTTCATTCTAGTATTACAGCTTTTCAGCTTGCTTTTCAAATTTGGCTCTGTAAAGTGATATGCCAAAACCAGCTTCTGCCATATTAAAAAATCAAAAGGGAACAGATATACCAAAAGGAATCAGTCTCCAAAATCCTTGGGGGAAGGGGAAAAAAAAAAAAAGGGAGAGAGAATGAAAAAGGAGGAGAAAAAAAATGAGGTATGCTAGTAATGGCAAGCAGATTTGTTTTATTTCATAACTTGTATTCCTAGTCTAGGACTAATGTATCAGTGGATCCAGGACTTAATGTCTAATCAGTGTCTATAAGTACCTCAAGGGAGGCAGTGAGGAGGATGGTGCTGGCCTCTTTTCAGTGGTGGCCACCAACAGAACTAGAGGTAATGGCCACAAACTGAAGCACCAAAAGTTCCACAGGAACTGAAGGAAAAATTTCTGAACAGTGAGGGTGACAGAGCTCTGGAACAGGCTGCCCCGAGAGGTTGTGGAGTCTCCTTCTCTGGAGATCTTCAAAACCCGCTTGGATGCAGTCCTGTGCCACGTGCTCTAGGTGACCCTGCGTGTGCAGGGGGGCTGGACTAGATGATCTCTAGAGGTCCCTTCCAACCTTAAGCATTCTGTGATTCTAAGCTGGGAGGTAACTCATGTACAGCAGATAAAACAAAGGAAGCAATCTTAAATCAGGTCCTTTTTATTTTTTATTTATTATTATTATATACAAAAACATATAAGCACATTCATAGAGATTAAATTGTTAAAAAAAATTAAAAAAAAAGAGAAAAACAGAAGCCCATACACTTGTGTCTTCAGCACAGGCAAGTGAAAACGTAAGTCAGAATCCACAATTCCCCAAATGAAGGTGGTATAGGCACAAGCTTCTTGATAACTGCTCAAAAGGTATATACATATATCTGCATATACCTATATTAACACACACCCACAATATAAGGAATACAGCAGTATTGTCACCTTATGGTGTCCCACAAGGACAGGTTGCCAGTGCCAAAGAACAGTATGATGCGATACTTCTGAAAATAATTTCTTATTTCTTCTTCTGTTCTCTTAAGGGGAGGGAAAAAAAAAGATTCACAGTATATACTGTCAACGTCAAAAGACTGATCTCTGTGTTCCTCACTCTGGGAGCAGTTCCACTGACTGGCATGGGATTTTTGTTTAATAAGAGCTAATTTCAGGCTAGGTAGTGAGATGACATGAAGCACCTGAGAGGGGCATCCTTCCTGTGCCCTTTCAGGCAGCATCTGAAGAGGGATGAAGTGCTATGAAGTGTTGTGTGAGGTTGGAGAGAAAAACATTTTCAGTCAGTTTTAACCATCTGGTTTTTGTCCTGCAAAAGGAGCAATTCAATATTTTCAAAAGAGCAGTTTTTCTGCCCTTGTAACTCCATTAGATGTCAGTTATAATTGAGACATGTTTCAGCATATTTTAGGAGCCACTAAGAGCTTCAGGAGTAGACTCAAAATATACCAGAGTGAAAATTAGCTTTAGAGCAGGGCAAGTGGCTGTTTCATTATACAAGTATTTGTATGTTTGTGTATATATTCACATATATATATTTATATTAGTATTTCCTCCAAAACAAAATTCTGCCTCAATAATATGCTGAAAACCATTTTGATAGTGAGAAATTTGGAATTCTGTGAAAGTGGATGATTAAAAGGGCTTGGACAGTAGGGTGAGCCATGCGTTAGTAAGTTCATAAAAAGGTTTCCAAAACATGAGTAACCTGAGTTTCTGCCCTATAGATGTGGAACAGGTTAGAAGGAATCTAGTTTGTGAATGTTCTCACACAGTGCAGGTAAACGAAGGCCCATATTCAAACTCTTCAAATTTAGATAATGTTTTTTGAGAGTACTGTGCTATAGCAGGTAACTATAAATGATGCGTTCAAAGAGAATGACATAGATGAGCTGGCCTTAGACAAGAGTCCCCAGCAAGCAAGCATCATTTTAAAGTTTCTCTTTAAAAAGGCAAAATTGTCTACACTCTTTTATCTTCTCCTCCATCCTTGGGCTTAGCTAAGAAGTAAATGTTACTTTTATGTCACATCTTCACCTTCCAGCTTACGGTCTCTTCCTTCTTGAGCCCTCTGCTCACATTTCCTGCCCAGAAGCACAGCTCACATGCAGACATTTCAGAGCGTGTGCTGGAGCTGACAGAGGAACTTGGATCGGAGCCCCAACTCATATAGGGACAATTTCCGCAGGCTCTTCTCTTTCAGAATACAGAAGGTAATTTAGGGTTGCAAACCCATCTCGCCACATGTAGCTTGCCCAGGCAGCTAATGAGGGCAACTTCCATACAGTAACTTGATGGGAAGGTTTGGATTGACTGTTCGTTACTGAGGCTGGCCTTGCAGATGGAAAACACACATAACACTTATAACTAACGCTGTGAAATGAAACAAAACACTTTACATGACTTTTGAAAGGTATCACTAAGTCTACTGACTTATCCTGCTCTAAGAACTAATGATACTTCGACAGAGGTAGAACACAAATATTTCACAGTCCATTTTGTAGTTATTTAACTACTATAGCGAAGACCACGGTAAAATTTGGGATGGCAAAAAAGTGAAAGTACAGAGCAAATCACACCTCGATTAGTGGTGGAAAATGGGATTTTAATCATATCACATAAAAAGAAAAAGACATATAAATTGTAGCAGCCTTGGCCTGATGCCTTTAACTCGGACACAGAAAATACTGTGTTCAAAAATCAGTGTAACTTGCAGCCACTGCTCTGGGCAGTGTGTGTGATGTTAAAGAGATCTTCCTACTCAGAGTTGGATGAAGTCACAACATAGCAAAGGGTTATGGGGATAGTTTTGTCCTGCTTGTGAGAAGAAATTTGTCTGACTCTGTCAGGTGTTTTTGGCTCTTCATTGTCAAGAGAACCAAAAGTAGGTGTAAAACTGTAAATACCGCAGGAAAAAATTATGGTTCTGAGTCACCCTGCCTTCATCTGTCCCCCAGCACATATTTTGTAGCTGTTGTCTTTCAAAGCACACAGGCAATCGCTGAGGAGATGAAGAAGAGGAGCATGATACTATATGCAACAGGCTGGAATAGGTTATGTCAGAGAAAAGTCTGAGACATAGGACTGCACAATCAACCTGCCTACGTTCACAACCTAACTCCAGGCTATTTAATTGGTAGCTCTCCCATTCTCAAGGCTTGTTTTCTTTTTTTCTTTTTTTTTTTTTTCTTCTTTCTGTTTGCCTCCTTAAAATAAGTACATTCTGATGTCTGGCCACACAAACAAGTTTTCAGCTGGTTTCTGATGGCATAGAATCACTCCAATTTGTTGTTGAATTCTTATATATTTAGCTGAAAAATTGGTTAACAATCTACACCACCTCCATAAGGAAGATAGATTTATCATCCTCCTCCAATATAAAGCAAAATTCTCTGCTTAGGGTGATGAACAACATGATCTATGGAGGACTGATGAAAATGATTTGTTGATGCCAGTCATAAACCAGCAGCAGCATTATTACTGTAGTAGGTCATTGTGAGAAAGCTGTTTTCTTAAACCATCTGCTCTCCACTTTCCCGAGAAATTAATAACTTCAAGAAGTTATAATATGCTCAGCAGCTGAAGTGATCTCAGAGTGATCTGTTACTTTTAGCTTTTCTTTCATTTATAAGATATTTTGCTATACAAAATTGAAATAAATATTGCTAGTCAACCTAACCTTTCCAAAGGTTAATGTGGTTTTGTACAGATCCTGGGTGAGTGTTGTGGTGAATTCACAGTGGCTATACGTAATGCATAAACAGTAAAATGACAAACTATTTTTGTTCATTCTTTTATAAAAATAAAACACAAGAGGAAGCAATACATCCAAATAATACCACATTGCTTAGGAAAATAACTCTCCTCTCCTAAACCCGACTTCAGTTTATGTTTCAGTTCATATACAGTAAAATTTCACATTCTCTGAGAATCCAAAGCCGTTGGCTAGTCACTGAGATCAGAGAACCTGAAAGTAATTTTTGTTCCAAACTTATCCTTTGATTTCATGCAGTAGAACTCACTCCAGGCTGACCATTAAGGGTCAATGTTGTTTTGGCGTAATTGGCTCCTTGAATAAGCTTAATTCCTTTTATTCTTCCATTTCTTCCCAGGAAACAGTAGCTTACTAAAGTAGCATGTGAGATAGTCTCTCCTGAGTATAGTTAAGCTTCTGTCAGTGGAGCAAGTTATTTTGAGGGTAGCCATTCAAAAGGAAATGCCCTGTTTCTCTTCTCAGGGAACACACGGGTGCCTTTCTGCCTGTGAAGTCCAAGGCTAAAAGACACTCTCCTGCCTTTGCAAGTAGACTTTCACTCCCTCTAACCCATCCATAGGTCCACTTGACATAGACCTGGCTGACATGGTCCTGCCAGAGAATAAGCTTTCCCTTCTGTTTTCCAAGCTGTCACTGAGCAGTGCCTTAGGACGAAACACTTGCATGAATTTCTGGTAAAATTCTTTGGATGCAAAGTAGTAAATGAAGGGATCGATACAATTGTTGAGGCAACTGAGACACAAGGTGAGCTTGTAGGCAGGGTACAAACTCTTTTCGTAAAATAGGCGGCTGATCATATGCACAAGCAGGATAAAGTTATTGGGGGCAAAGCAGGTGACGAATACTAAAAGGACTATCACTGCCAGGTATATAGATCTAGTCTTCTGCTTGTTACCATATCTGTTAGATGTCTGAATAAGCTTCCGAATGGTGGCAATATAACATCCCACTGTTACGATGAAAGGGATCAGAAAGAGCACGAAAAATAACGTAAGGAGAAAGGCTACCCAGGCTGCAAAGCTGGGCAGCATATCCCATTTGAGGACATCAAAACAGGTTACGATCCCCAGCTCTTTCACTTCATAGGTCAGATCTGTGCTTTCTAGTGGGTAGAGAGCTAAGAGCAAGAGAATCCACATTCCCAGGCAGGTAGCGAAGGCATACCTTTTTCTTCTCCACTTTATTAACTTCATTGGATATACCACTCCCATGTAGCGCTCGATGCTGATACAAGTCATGGTCAGGATCGAAGAATACATATTAGAGTAGAACATCACGGTCACAAGGCTGCAGAGAGTCTTGCCAAAAGTCCAGTGGTTGTTATGGGTGTGATAGATAATCTGGAAGGGAAAGCAGCTGGCCAGCATGAGATCTGTGATGCTCAGGTTGATCATGAAGATAACAGAAGGTGTTTTGGGTTTGATATGCCAGAAGAGCACCCAAAGGGAGAACAGATTGCCAGGAATACTGATGAGAGCCACGAGTGTATACACGGCTGGGAGAGTGACAGAGATAGCTTTATTCTGGAGCATTGCCAGTGTTTCATTGTCCAGCTGGGACCCGTTTTTAACCATATTCACAAGGTTGTTGAGGCCCTATAAGCTAGCTGGATCATATCATGAGCGCTTGGCTTAGAAACCTAGAAGACAAATGACAGAGAGAGACGCAATAGGTCAGAACAGAAATTAAGATCGCATTTCTTCTATTAAATAACTTTTATAAAAGCCATGAATGCATAAAAAGCCATATTTCATCTTTGAATAAACTAGGTCCATGAAAATATCTCCAGAAAACTGGCTTCTCCCTCTAAATTGTGTTAGTGTTTTGCCAACATCGCTTTTTCTTCCTAGATTTGAACAGCTAAATGCAAGTGTGAAAAACCTCTCTTGTTGAATGGCTTTCTGATTTTTTTTGCAGACCATATATTATCACACCCTTACTGTTATCACAATACAAAGAAAATCACATAAGCTTCAACAGTTTAAAATGAATTCAATGCCTGACATGGGAACACTATGCTGGAAGAGCCCCATGAGTTAAGTCCATCCTATATGCTCTCTGCCCTTAATATCATGAGATTTCTCTCTTCAGATACACATTTTTTGTTTGTTTCTTATTTGCTTTTTAACACAGCGAACAGTGGTCTGTTTCAAATAAGACCTGGAAAACTAATATGGGAAAAGAAAACATGCAAGCAATTATTTTAAGAGTATTCATGTTATAAACAGAGTTTAAGAAAAAAATAAACATCTATAATCAGGAACCAAGGGCAGATAGGAGTTACTCAGACAGGTTTTCAGGCTGAAGGCACCAGGCTAAAGAAGAAACAAGTCATTTTCTAACAATAAGAAAAGCTATAAGTTTCCACTCTACAAGATGTGAGTTCTTGGAAAATGCTGTTTGCTTCTAATTCTGCAAAATGAGTTTCAATTTTGCAGTCCGCAAAGCAAAACCATGCCTTCATTCTTTCTATACAGAATATATTCCTTGGCAGACAAAACAGGTTCCAGTTTTAGCTTATTTATTTCATACACTGTGCTAATATATCTAGCATCTGCAAATAGGAACCCATATCTCAGCATGCTACATGCAAGCATACTTATTTTCATTAAACTGTAAGTACAGGGATGCAATTAAAAAATAAAAAAGTATGGAGTCATAAAAGTGAAGAAATGGCAATCAGTGATAAGAAAAGCAGGTAGATCAACAGTAAGTTCTATGAATACTAATATAAAGGCCTAAATAGGTGTCAAGGCCAAGTCAGCTGATATCTCTGTGTACATCTATATTCTTAAAATAGAAGAGCATCAGAGAGTGAGTACAAACCCTGATCATCCACGCAGTTTAATCTAAATCGTTATTTCTCACAGAAGCCATTACCAGAATAACATGATAGCTTTTCCACAAAAAAATAAAAAAAAACATTCCCATTGTGGGTTCCACCACAGACTGTGATGCAGTATAGATAGTCAACTCTAAATTTAAAGATAAACTGGCTACATATACAGGAAAAATACTGTTTCAGAAGCAAGATGGTGTTAACAGTAATGTTAATTAATGTTTCTGATCTTTCAGGAGTTTTTAGCTGAGGTGGTAGAAGCGCAGAAAAAAAAAGGAAATAGAAATCGAATTTAAAAAAAAATGTTTCTAGTATATTTTGCACAAGACACAGAACAAACATTTTCCAAGAAATAAATATACCACATGATCACAACTGCAAAAAGTTCTTTGAGCCAAATCCATTTCAGGTGAAATTCCTCTCTTACTAGTAGAGTTCTATCAAGCAAGAAAGCAGCTCTCGATTTTTTGGGAGAACTTGAAAAGGTACTTATTGAAAAAAGACTCTTGAAAAATAATTAATATAATCTATTTCTTCTCACTCTGACTCACCATGGTAAACATCTATTTATGATCTCTTTACTGCCTTAGACAGTCTTCTCAAATGACACCTCTTTGTGCCTAAAAACTCTAAACCCTTCAAAGAAAAAAACAGGAAAGTTTTATTCATATCAAAATGTTTACTGATCTCTGCCAAAAAGTCTTTTTAAGAGAAGGATCTTTACTCTCAGCAACTGAGGGCTCTCATCCCTAGGCATACTCTAAAAAGTATATGTATTTGGAGGTGGGAGAATAGATGAAAATTCCAGTTAAATCCATCACAGCAATCTTTCTATAATAAAGCTATTGAATACACAGGGTTTAGTTTTAGTGCCAGTCATGAAGGTGTTTTCTGAGAGCAGCTTCTACACTTAGGTTTTCTGAGGGCACGTGTTGCTGAGGAGATTTTAAAGAAATCACATAAACACTGCAACTCATAGATGATGAAATATACGAAGTAGCGCCAGGAATAGCAGCTCAGCGAAAGGCAAATGTTGTGCACGCATGGAGCAGTGCTGCCAGTAAAACACAAGCGTTTCTTGAAGAAGGGTCATAAGGCCCCGGACTTTGTGGTTAGTCAGCTACAGGATCATGCCAGAGAGTGCAGGTGCCATAGGACATTCCCTTTCTGTAAGGGAAATTCTCCATCACAAAGAAGGAAAAAGAAATGGTGCTTCGCTAGTGTCTTTTGCAAGGGTGAAGAGCGGGGTGATGCATGCAAGACTCCCTTTTTCCAATTCCTTGTTCAGGAAAGTCTGAGCCAGCAGAAACCCCCTGCTCTGAATCACCGTTACTTCTGACGTTTTGTTTTTTTAAATGCTTGGATTAAGATGTTGGACTCATGAAAGTATTTCTGCAAATGTCTGCTCTCCCATTACTGTGTCTTTTGGAGCTTACTTAATGCTCTACTTACATTTCCATCTTGTTCTGGGTAGCTTTATGTCCTTCTACCCACAGCCTCTTTCTGTCATTTATGGTTTAACTTGAAAATGTCGTAAGTCAAGTGAGAATGTAATGCTTGTAAGTATTAGAATTAGATTCCTCATATATTTTACATGTCTCTCTCTTGCAAATGCAAGCCTTCCCACACAGTGCAAATCAGTGGAGCTTGCATGGATTCATTGCAGGAGGCAGTCTGACACAGAAAAATTTAAAAGCGTCAACACTGAGCTATGGTTTCATATATATAATTTGTAAAAACACATGTTGGGTTACAGAAATATCCCTGCTAGAAAGGTATGGTTTTGATTTTATTCTGGAGAGAGCCAAAGACATATAGAAATCAGCCGAAATAACTCAGTAAGCATTTTTCAAATAAAAAATATGATTAAGGAAGAGTCCAAATTCCAGCTACATCAATCTTCAAGCTGCTGACATAGAAAGAGAAAGGTTAAGCTTTTCTGCTTGCCTCAATCTGAAACACTGAGTGCATGGATATAGTGTTGTATTAGGTATCAAGAGCACCTGAATTCTCTGGAATAACCACATTAAACCTAAGGAGGATTTTCTTGGTCCTCCTCATACTCACTCATGGCACTATATGCAGAAAGCTCACATGGAATATCAGTAATCTTAGGTTTTCTTCTGCGCTATGGCTGTAAGTAAATGTGACCGTTGTCTCTTGCCTCTGGAGACAGGAATAGTGGTTTCTCTTTCTGCATTTGACAAAAGATGTCAAATAACACAGTAAAAGGCTCGCTCAGAATCAAATGATTGAAAATCAGAAGAGGATAGGACTGTGGTGTTTGTCATGGAAGAGTAACAAGAGAGATTTGTTTACTTTCTTTTTATGAGAGTACTTAGATAAACTGTTTTTTTTCTCTCCCGTATCTATTCTGTTCCTCTCGTAAATGTTTAGTGCAGCTGTGAAAATGACTGAAAAACTTCTGAACTGATGGAAAGTCAGAATTAGCATTTTATGAAAAAAATGTGATTTGTTTTGTGATTGTGATTGAAAAAAAAATGAAACATACCATGCAGCAGAAATAGTGTGAAAACCCAGTCTGTTTCATCATTTTTGATTCACTCCCTGTCAAAGCAGTGGTGTGTTCAATACAAAGGTGTTTGTTACTTTTATAAATTCTGTGTAATTTTTACACTTTTAGTGAGACACTATTACACTTGAAGAATGTGGGACAAATGTTTCAGATTACAGGAAAAGGAAAATGAAATTCTGAACTTAATTGTTAACTGAAAATGAAATAGATTTAGGATGAAGTAAAATGAAAATACATTTACTGTAAGCACTATGAAATCATACTAACAGTTTAATAAAGCAAACAAAATTTTAAAAAATATAGTTTTTTTTCAAGACAATAGATTTTTGGCAAATATTTGCTGAAAATTTTTTGACTTCTATTCATGACTTTTACAAGGTTATAATGAGAACTTAAGGGTTACATTCATGCATAATTAAACAAGATAATTTATTTTTATCTAAATTTAGTTAAACTGAATAAAAAAATTAAAAGAGAATGATTACTGTTGGTGATTCCATTCCTCCTGGACTCCTTGAATTGCTTGCGAGAAAAGAGAATACTAGATGAGCGTAGAAAACAGAACCACTTAATTTTCTTCGTAGATGGTGAGGAGGAGGTTTTAGAACGACAAAGAGATGGCATTTTGAGTTGCAAGAAGAACTCTTTGATATTTAGATAAAGCACGGGGTTTTCACATGAGGAACAGTAAGAAAAAGTGCCCTTTTGTAATGTATCACAATTACTGTTCCTGAAAAATCATTGGTCTGATTCAAAGAAGCACTTCTGGAAAAGTTCGAGTCACAAAACTAGAGTGTGGATGTGTCCTTAAAATGACCATGGGCTTTACTAAAAGAAACCAAAGATTTTGACTGGATGAGTCTTTCTCATGCTCATAATAAGCCTTTCTTGCAAATTTTAACTTGTCGACTTACATTTGTACATGAAACTTCTTTGTATGGACCCTTCTCTGTTTTTTTTTTCTGCTTGATTGTGTTTTTATTTCTGTTGTTTTGCTCTGAATACCATTATTAGAAAGACTGAAAAACGTTGCTCTGTGAGTCTATAGTGAGGTTATCAGAAACACATCACTTCACACAAGTCTTTGGCTTATTTTTTTTTTAATAAATACATTCAGACAAATGAGACTGCTACCTCTGCACGTCTGTACTGATTTGGATCGATTTGTACTTCCGAACAAATAAAACAAATCTGTAAATACATAATTAGCTATATTATTCCTAACATGTCATTTAGCTTTAGAAAAATATGAAAAAAGTTCTTT